AATATCTGTAATAATTGAAAATTAAATAAAGCATTCATTTGTAGCTGTAGCAATAATACCATATAAAAATATATACATGTACAACAAGTGCGTCGGAAGTGAAATTTTTTTCATGTTGGTCAAATCTTTTTCAATCTCGCCTGCACGTCATGGAAAAAGCTTTGTTCCTACATTTGTTTTAAGGTCTCTATTGTTCACCTATTTGATAACCTTGAGTCTGGAAAAATAAACTATTGTTTTGGAAAAAGTCTGGGAAAAGTCTTGAATTTTGGATCAAAATTCTGCACAAACCCTGAATTTATCATGCAGTAGAAACAAATTTGTGCATGTGGTATAATAAATGATTAATAAAGCACCTGTTATCATTATATTATAGTAATTCTCCTGCACTTAATTTACTAGCATGCAATGTAGGCACATTTTCTAGGTGAGCAAAAGCTGCTTGTTTATGTGTATTATACTGGGTCACCATCTTTGATTTATTTTCCATGAGCCATGTTTCAAACTTATGTTTAACTCAGTTATTGTATACAAAGTAGCTTTCCAAAAAACTCAAGACTTTTTACAATTTTTTTAAGCCTTTTCCTCTATTTTCCAGACTTTTTCTAGATCTGGAAAATTGCTGGGCAAATTTCAAGACTTTTTCAAGTATTCAAGACTCTGCACGAACCCTGTAAATTACATGCAATGTTTTATTTTTGTTAATTCATGTTACATTTTGCATTCACAAAAATTTGAATAACAATGTAAGCTCCTTCTACATGTACCATCCCACCTCAAAAGTGGGACCCCGGCAACTAATTCAGGGATTCATAAAAACAGCTTTTCTTGCATTGCACAAATACTTAAAGGCCGATACGTTAACTGTAACTTAATATTTACCTTCTAGGCTGATAACTGATGGATGGTAAAATGCTATAATCCCAAGCAAACTCTGTCCATCACTTATGTCTTTCAAGAGATCTTCCATTAAAGGAAACACTGTTTGTACTTTGGGCTGAAGCTGGTCACGACGAAACCTGAACCTCTTGGCTTTGTCCTGATTCTGCAGTAGCTGTTCAGCATGTTGTCTTTGCTTCTTTAGCTGATTATCATTTAAACTGGCACATATTTTGTTGATCCACAGGAGTAATGCATCTTCCAGATCAAAGGGAAGCTCTTTAGAAGCATTGAATGAGGAAAACTTGCTGAAGGAAGTTGAAAAAGGAATTGAAAGAAAGGAAATTGTTTATTGTGTCATAAAGATTATTACAAATCCTCAACCTAACACAGAGAAGTTGTCACAAACAATTTAACCAGTGGTATACCTGACACTCTGCACAACTTGTTGCACACTTACAGTGCGAGTAGAGAAAGCACTCATCAGGCAATCCATCAAGGCAAGATGAGTGGACTGAAAACAAAACAATAAATAGTACAAGTCATCATAACAACGCTATGGAATCATGGCTGTGGACTACATTGTAACTCATACAAATTGTATATAAACAAAAAATATTTGAGCAATATTATTACTGCTTGATCCACCAGATAACAGTGTTGATGGAGTGCCTAAATAGGAAGGCAGTGTGACTGAGAAGGTTTAATAGAGCACCGGAACAGGAAAGGCAGCCCAGAGTTCAAGTTCCACCCCCACTTTTTAGTAGCTGGATTTGTTCTCAATAGTCCCGAGTTTAACTACTCAGTTACTGTAAACAACCAACTAGTTTGCTTCCTTCCAGATGAGATGCTTAAAGGTAGATTTCCACTACTGTTCACTAGGCTGCTCAGTGACAGATTGACTTGAAAAATTCATTGGCTGATTAACTGACTAAATGAAGGTATGGCAACTTATTTCTTTAGTGATTTATTGGTTACAATAAATTATTCTATCATAACACATAGTTACCTTTCTAAAGGGTTTCTTTTGTTGTAAGGCAGAATCTGTAACAGCAATGTCACCTTCCTCAACCACATAAAAGCCATGACGAGAGAGTGTCTGGATGATAGCCCACTGACCAACAGCAGGAGCCTTCCCATGAAAAATATTGTTACAAACCTTACTGTAGATCTCACCATTCGTAAGGAATTCTGTCACCTCTGGGCGGACTGTGATCCGTTTCTATGAAAAGAGAGACTTAATTCAGGGCTGTCACTAGGGGCAGGGGACTGGGGATTTCTTCCACCTACTATGAGAATGAACCCTGGCGGCTATTTTTCGTAGGGAATAAAGGGAAAATGAGACCAAAAGAACTCCCTGGCTGTTCAGTTTCCCCACCTACTAATTGCAGATACCCAGGAACTTGAAATCTTAGTGACAGCCGTGTAATTAACAAAAGTCAAAAGATGAATAAAATGAAACCCCCTAAGTAGAAGTTGTGAATTTTTGCTGATCAGCATTTTCCAGATTTGAAGCCCTAAGGCTTCGCCTTGAAATCCAAGTACCAACAAACAAGTGCAATTCGGCACAGATGATCTTTAAATCTGTATTTAAGTAAATAAAATTAATGTTGGGATGCAAACAGGTTGATAACTCTTCTGCAAAAAGCTCAGAACAGATGAAGACATGTTTAATGATTTTTCCTTGTTTCTGTTGTAATTTTTCATAATATTATTACATAAACAGTGTATCTTGGATGCTTTGGTCTACTCTTTTGGTGAAAATAAATACTGTCACTTAGGTGTGTAGCTAAAGAAAAGCTACACAGGCTTTTTTATTTGTCAAGCCAACTTTTTCTCCAACTCAACCTTCAAAATAGCCTGTGTCACAGACATAATTTAATCTTGGTTAGTAACATCTGCGAAGCAGCAACCGATATCCTTGTTCAAGATCCCCAACGGACTCAACGAGTTACTGGAAGTGTGTTTTGAATTTCTTTTCACGCTCCTGACTGGCAAATCGACAATGGCTTTTTTAACAGGCCAATCATGACACATACTCAAATCCTGATACCCAGGTGAGGGCCCACAACAAGGATTTTGTCGCTTTTTCGCAGATGGACTTAACCAGAGTTTAGTTTTACCTGTGGCACAGGCTACCCTAAAAATTACCACATGTCTGTTTCCCAGAGCAATTTGAGCTGGTGGTAAATTCTTATTCAGATAGTGAAATTTGCCAGCAGCCCGCTCTTAGCAACATTCCTGTGTTAGCCCTTAATTTTTACATCCAACCCTGTCTTGTTAGTCAAGATAACACCTGTTGATTCAGATGCCAAACTCATAAAAAATTGGCCATCCTTAAAAATCTTTGAGACAAAAAATATTATTCTAAAATTTGGAACTTACCAGTATAATAATCATTATAACCATAAAGTTAAAAAAAATCCAGCGTCTGGATCAAACTGAATCAAAACTGTTCCTTCTACTGTAAGTCAATTAGTAGGCTTCATTTTGGTGGCAAAGGTTTTTAGGAAAGCTTTTAGGATCTTGGGATTAGATGAAAGGAAAGGTAGGTGGGTAGTGGAACAAGATTTTCATGGAAATTTTCAGGTCAATGTTACGTGGTTTTTTGCCTTTCTCTCTGGGGTACTTGACTGAATTGTGCCCAATCTGGTATGGTTCGAAAGATCTCTTCACTCTGCACAAGTTGGCGGACAAAGTTGTCCTTGACCATTAAAACTGATCGGCATCGCATGGGCAGTTATGGGCAGCTCAGGGGTGAATGGGTTAATGGGTTAATAATAGTTTTATTGATCCAGGGTTGTCACAAAGATTTCAAGTTGCTGGGTAAATACAACAAGTAGGAAGGAATTCAAACAGTTAGAGAGAGTTCTTTTGACTCTATTTTTCTCCTATTTTCCAATGAAAGAAGCCAGGGGCCACATTCATAGTTGCCAGGGGGAATCCCTGGCCCTCGGCTCTTAATGACAGCCCTATTGATCTAAATCCCAAACTTTTCACGACTTCTAGATTCAAGGAATATGGTTTGGCTCATGAAAACTTTGGAACTGAAGATGGCCTTAGACTTACAAAAACTAAATATTGTCTGCGCTCTTCAAAAATGCCATAAAATGTTGCCAATTTTTCAATGAAAGTAATTGCCATTAAACTAACTTGAATATTGCATTTTTGGACATATTTATGGCATCATTTCTATGATCTACAAGACAGTGTAGATGTATAGACTGTACGTGTGTACCTCTGAGTCACGTTGAATAGGACTGGTGACTTGAGAAGGAATGTTCTCAAACTCTCCATCTTCAGTGGCACGGAAAACCAACCAGTATAATGATGCTGCAAACTTTGCCTAAAAAAAAAACAGAGAAAGAGCCAAATTATAAACATTGGTACAATCACTGACCAGTCCATATGTTAACTTCTCTATAATGACCATAGGTCTATAGATTAAGTTCAAGTACAAGTTTTTTTAGTGATTAATGTTAACATTTTTATACACAAAAGTCCTTATCCACAAATGCTATGCAGCTAATCAAAGTGGAAATAAAAGATAATTACAATTTTTCAATCAGAAAGAGCTCATGGAGATGCAGTCATGTACCCACCATGAGGTGACATGTGACAATAAAAGTCAACTGATGACCACCTCTTTTCATTAACAGCTGATAAACTGACCAGTCCATATGTTAACTTTGCTTCAACCTCTCAACTAACAAACAGCCAGCCAAATGGTTTAATTAGGAGATGTTCTCTACCAACATCTCTACAACAAGTAGTCACCTCTCCACAATTCAGGGCTGTCACCGAGATTTCAAGTTGCCCTGTAATCATTTATTTATTTATTTATTTTGCTTCCTATGAAAGTAGCCAGGGGTCATGCTCTTAGTAGCTGGGGGAATCCCCACTCCCTAGCTTGAGCCCCTATTGACCTATTGAGAACCCTCCAATGGCATTAACTACTAAGCAGACCAGTCAAAATTTAACAATGCAAAAACTGATGTACTCACTTTCACTCACTTGCTTCATTTTAATGACATCTTATTCTGAACTGTTTTGAAAACATTTTATTTCATTATCTTGCTTAAATGTGACACAATAGGCCTTACAGGAAAGCAACAATTGGTTGTACAGGTACATAACTGGCATCCTTATCACCCCTCTACGATGTGAAGAGGTTCAACAGTTTTACAGGTAATTCGAGATGAAAAACATTTTTTAAAAACTTTAAGCCAAAGTCCAAACTGCAATGCTCAACATACAATTCTCAAAGAATTCACTAAAACCCGTGTTCTAAAAATCAGTCCCTTGTAGCTTTCATAATCATCAATTTGTCCTTTTACTATACTAGTCTCTCTCAGGGTCTATGGGGTGAATGTAGAGCAAACCTTAAAGGATATTAATTTTTTCAGATCAAATCACAAAACTTGTTAACATCATTAAATAATGAGCATATTTGTTTTTAAAAAAAATTTAAAGAATTATCTCACTGATAGCCGATCTGTCACTTAATTTTCTGATCTTGCTAACTCTGCACTCAGCCATGAATTTAGTTCATTAGGTAGTTGAAGGAAGCCTATTAATATAAGCTTCAAGCTTCATTAGGCTTCCTTGTCACATTAATTTTATAAATTAATTAACAACTTTTGTTCATGTTGTACAAGGTTTTGTGGGTGACTAGAATAAAACAAATAAAGCATTTTCAACTACCATACGGCTAAATAGTATAATTCCATGTCTCTCATGCCTCTTATTTGCCCCACAAATTTGCTTAAAACTTAATTACCATAACCATAGTTACATGCAATAGAGTCCCCTTACTAACTATGCCATCACAGCAAGGTTCTTAAAAGTACAGTACACAATAATCATAATTATGACAGATAGTTAAAATTTTAAACACATAACNTAAAGAATTATCTCACTGATAGCCGATCTGTCACTTAATTTTCTGATCTTGCTAACTCTGCACTCAGCCATGAATTTAGTTCATTAGGTAGTTGAAGGAAGCCTATTAATATAAGCTTCAAGCTTCATTAGGCTTCCTTGTCACATTAATTTTATAAATTAATTAACAACTTTTGTTCATGTTGTACAAGGTTTTGTGGGTGACTAGAATAAAACAAATAAAGCATTTTCAACTACCATACGGCTAAATAGTATAATTCCATGTCTCTCATGCCTCTTATTTGCCCCACAAATTTGCTTAAAACTTAATTACCATAACCATAGTTACATGCAATAGAGTCCCCTTACTAACTATGCCATCACAGCAAGGTTCTTAAAAGTACAGTACACAATAATCATAATTATGACAGATAGTTAAAATTTTAAACACATAACTGTGAAGCCAAAGGCTGTTTTTATACTACAGTCGTATTATCCATCTGGACGAACTTTGGCAAACATTTTGTTGTTTATCTGGTTGTGCATCTCAAGTTTAGTATAAGGACAGGCAAAAGACACGATATGCATCTGGATGAACTATCCTCGTAATACATCTTGGACGACGCAATACAAAAGGTAGTTCATCTGGACGCAAAATGCATCTTGTTCCCATCTTTATACTTGAGACGCTTAACTGGACGAAGTACAAAATGTTTGCCCAAGTTCGTCCAAACAGATAATGCATCCTTAGTATAAAAGCAGCCAATGTTTGAGCAGTATGTTTTCAACAGTGGCCTTTCTTAAGAAACTAACACAGCGAGAGATTTCTCACAAAAACTCAGCATGATTAGTATAATATTTTTTTTTATGTTAAGTTAGAACACAGTACAGTCAAAGGTGCATGTGGAATCTTCACAAAAGCCTTTCTACTTGAATGAATCACTTTTTCCTCAGCATAGAAAATATGCAAATCAAATGAATATCACACATGTCTCCTTTACGAATAAACATCGCTGATAATTGGCCATGTCTGGTGAATTCTACAACTGGAAACCCGATCATAATTTACAGAATAAATGTAAGAGACCTTGAAAAATTTAACACACACACATTTCATCAGCGTCTAAATTGAATATGTGACGACTGAATTGAATAAATGTCGGGGATTTTTAGCGTAAAGTCGTTCATTAATTATGTATTATTTGCCAGAAGCTATAGAATCTCGTGTTGTTTTATATGAACATAAGCTTAATTTAAGCTCAATCAATACAAGTGTAATAACACAAACCTCAAATGGATCATATTCTGTCACAGGAATAACATGCAAAGGAACATTTTCCACTTTTAACTCATCCATAGGAAACTATATCCTTTCCTGGGCCTTTAAAAGTCTATCCATTCCAGTACTAACAGAGACACCATATCCGTCTTTCAAAACGCTGAACGCGCGCTACATATCAAAATGTCAAATGTGCTTAAAAGTCACCTTTACATTCACTGCACAATCGAATAGTTTGAAGCGATAAATACGTGCATTGTGGACTTTTTCTTGTAAAGGGAAACCGTCTCTTTCTCCACAACCAAATAATTAAGGCGAGAGAAACAACATAATCAAAATTCACATTTGTTTTTGTTCAACTTTCTTTCAACATATTCGAACCTTTCAAATTAGCCTCCGCGCCTGCGCAACTACTCTGGGAGTTTCGTCACCAGTTTTCTCCGAAAAGAGCCTTATTTTGTAGGTCCTTTTCTTTGTAACTCAAACCAGCCCTAACCAAATTTAGAAAAAGAGCTATATTTGAACACATCGTTCAACCCTGACCTTATATAACGGAAGTTGTTTACATGCACTGTTTCCTGCATCGTCATTATCATGTGACTCTCAGGAGTGTGCTCATCGCGCCAAAAACGTCAGTAGTTTTGTAATCCTTTTTTTGATTGGTTGGCAGGTGAATTGTTTCACGCTACGTTTCCCGGAGACTGCAACCTTGTCCAATCAAATGCAGAGAAATGGTTTTATTTACACGTCAATCAAGAACCAAAACATTACATCACTTTGTTTTGATCGAGAACGGTGAAATTTACCACGTACGAGAAGGCTGGAATGTTCTGAGTTGAAGCAATACAAAAAGGTCTTCTTCTGACATTTTCTGAGTTTTTTGGCCGTGAATGGCTGTAGTCACTTCGATCTATACAAAGGAGACATCTCAGGCGAAGGAAATTCTAGAGGAATACAATAATCCAATGAAACAAGAGGGAATGAAGTTTTCCTGGACTGGTAATCGGCGAGCAAAACACGATAGCATATCGTCTGTCGACAGCAATTCTTCTTCGGATTCACCCTTCCCGGACTCTCCGAACAATACTGCTTCGAGGATGAATACGGCTAAAAAGACTTGTGGCAGAAAGCGAGGAAGGCGGCCCTCCAAAATCGATCTAGAAGCTAAACTTGAACGAAGCAGGCAATCGGCGCGAGAGTGTCGAGCTCGAAAGAAGCTTCGATATAAATATTTGGAGGATATGATTGCGGATAAGGAAAGTTACGTTTACAAACTCCGAGAAGAACTTGAAATGGTAAGAAATACACACAGTGATCCACTTGAAAAAATTTGCTAACCTTCGTTGGGAAATATGATAATTTAATCTCAATATACAGCGACCTTAAGACTGGGAACACGATACCTAAATATTAAGCTGATGTAGTTCATCACCGTATGCCGTATAGACCGTATACGTTAATTTGTTTTACGTTTTTATAAAGGCCAATACAGAGTTAAGTTTTCTGTGACAACACGAAGTTGTAGACTTCTGGGTGATCGGTGATCTGTTTATGTTAACATCTCAGACAAAACAAAAGTGATCACTCAAATGAAGGCATCTTTGGAATTTTAACGCTTCCTTCCGTCACCAATTTGCTATAAATACATCAGGTATCTTTTATCTCTTATTTATCTTAAGTGTTTGTTTTACTGTGTAACGTGTAAATAACACAATCAGGCCCACTCAATCAGAAAAAAATGTCATTAACCTTAATGTTTTGTTGAACCTGTGTCTTAGGACTTGGAAATATAAAATAGAACATATAAATAGAAAATTTATAAATACAGACGTGATCTACTGGTATCAAATTATGATGGTTGGTTGGAGCACAATGGTTGGAGGCAAGTGCTCTCACCACTGAGCCATCCCATAACAATACAACTCCAAGGGGTCTTACATAATAGCTCCCTGGTCACATGCCATAAATTGCCTATTAAGCCACACCCCTAGAAGAAAAGGTATCTTTTATGCAATAATGAGGGGGTTTAATGGAAATGGGGACTTTAAATGTACATTTTATTTTTCTCTGTCAGTATCGCCACTGGTGCAAGGCTGTTGATAAAGGAGTGTACCCAACAGACCTTCAGGAGTTCATCAAGGAGCATGTTGACAATATCGACTAGCACTGGATTATGAAAAGATTGGTGTTTAGGAGATTACCCGTAGCCAGTATGCTATTATGGCTATACTGGGTTCAGCTATCTTTCCATGGCATTCCATTGCTCTGGCATATGCTCCCTTACCTCAGCCAGTTCAGAGACCTTCAAATTCCTTCTACAGCTGTGAAAAAAACATGAATTGTGGTGGATCAATTCTTTCCCTGAAGTTCAAGAACCTTAAAATCAGCTGTTGATCTGAGTACATTTTTTTTGCCATCAAAGTTATGTCTTGAGAGGATCCTTCAAAATGGCAGCAGCAAATCTAAATAGTTTGAAGATAAACTAAGAGAAAACAACTACAATCACCATAACCACAGCTGATACACATCTTGATAATTGTTAAATATTGTTAAATTTCAGTTGAAGTGACAGACACATGACTATTCTATTCTTCACCTGGCAGTGCCTTCATTTATTGTTGCCATGGTCTAGATTCATGAGACTTGATAGCATTTACATTTTAAAAAATCAAATGACTTGGAATCAAACATGTGCAATTGAGGGTTAGCAGTAATTAAAACATAAGTGCTTGACAAAGTTTACAGCATCTAGGAAACTTCAATGCAATAATACAGCCTTTGTCATTAAAGCTCAAACGGGCAACTCAGCCTTAAAAATTAAAATGTTTTGTTTGTGGTCCTTCTGTGAATTGTAAATTGTACTAAAATATACATGGTTTTATCCCATCAGGTAAATAAATCCTATCTGCTACAGAAATATCATGTAGTTTACAACATGAGCATTATTTTTACTCTTCAATGTTTATCATTGATATGATTGTCCTAAGTTTACAAATTATGTACCCTAGCATGGACCATAAGAAGTTAGTAGAGTAGAGTTGTGACAAAGATCAACAATTTGATTAATTCAATCTTTTCTCAAACTGTTTTTAATTAATGTTTTATTTTTTAAATATTTTGTGAATAATTCATTTTATTTTAGTTTTAATATTGGAAATTCTAATACTGGAATAATTTTTTTATTATTGTTGCAACGCTTTTTGATGTGAATATTTTAACCCTTTCATTTCCATGAGGGCAAAAACTCCGAGTCACAATTTAAGAAAACTGACCAAATTTTATTTTGAAAAATACCAGGTAGCTGAAAAGCATAGCGTAAGTCAACTGTCAAGTGGTTCCATATAAAAGGTTACACCACAGGATTTCAAAACCATGTTCCGGTCTTTCGATTATTGTTACAGTGTAGTAACTGGGTTAAATGTTGAAAAAGTTGGAATACTTTTGTATAACTACTTAGTAAAACTTAAAATAATGAAACCTTGTTTTTTCAATGAAAGTTGCACATAATAATGCTACCAATTTCATTGATTTTATTTGTAAAGACTAGTAGTGCAAGACAACCCAATAATTTTTGCTGTTTCCTAAAATTGATTATGAAAAGGTGCGCTGTTGTATGGCTTAACACCTGTTAATAGAGTTTTGTTACTTCCACTTATTAAGATGGTTTTTCTTAAAGGAGTTTACCACACTTATCACCTTTTGAACAACAGTTACTTTAATGCTTCATCAGTCTCTATAAAAATACTTGTGTAACATTAACAGTTTAGTACAGAGAGTCACAGAATCTCATGTAAAAAATAATTTGGTTGCATTAAACTTAAATAAAGTCCAAATAACTTTGTACCAAAAATTCCCTCATTTGTCTTTCCTTTCTCATTTGTCATAAAATATTAAGATGGAATCCACCAGGAAATTGAGTAAGTTTTATTATATTTTTCAGAGGACAAAAGCCTTCTCCCAGAATAATTTAAACAATATTGCATTCTTTTTTACACTTTTCAAGGGCTATATATGTAATTAGTTATCTGTAATAACACCAAAGACAATTTCTCATTGTAGCCTGAGAAAGTAGAATTGCATAAGAATTATGAAAACACAGGTAAAATTCTGAAAATTTTGTGTGTAAGATGTCATTTGGTGAAGATTGACATTTATTTTTTCAGACTCTGAAAAGAAATTTTCTTTGGTGTTATTAGAGAAATCTAATCACATCTATGGCCCTTAAAAAATGTAACACACTGCTGGTTGTCACTGTTGCACCAATGAAAATTAAGTCGAAGTCCAGAATCTGTAAAATAATAGAGGATAAATAAGCAAAATGCCTCACCAAAACTCCCGTCTGTGCAATTTTTCATAGGCAAGGTACTTGAAGAATATTTCTACCAACTTTTTAGACCTTAAGGGGGAGATGGCATGTTGGAAACCCTCTGAGGGACATCAATATGGTGGCCAGAAACAACTGTCATTGAGTTTTGCCACAAAAGCTTGAATTCATCACCTAAGGAACTTTAATATTTAAAACATTAAAATAAGACAAAGATTGAACACATAGCAAAAATCTCAAAAGATAAAGACATGTCAGCCTTCTTGGCCACCACTTAAGATGCTAACCACACTAAATATTGGATTGTGATTTCGTAGATGCTATAATGATTTTATAACATTACAAACAATGGTTCCAAGTTATTCCCAAAACAAAAGGTCTTAACAGTAGTATAATGAAATGAGACATATAAAGTATGAGACACAATCCCTATGGAAAAACATTGCCAAACATGTATTAAACGGACAAATATTTTTACAGTTTACACAAAGATGGTCTTTGCACGTTAGAGTTAACATCACGATTAGCTGATTGTGTTTGTTGTCCACTTAATGAGTCATTTGGGTTAACCATGCCTGTCAAATTGCTGCTTGCTTTAACAAAACTTGATGATATAGGTGGGAACTTGGAAAACACAGCACCTCTTCCTCTGTTCTTTTGCCAACCTCTTAATGCTGAAAGGCCAATATTATTGTGTTATTCATTCTCTAGAGGTATATTTTTGGAAATCAATAATTATTTGTACATAAACACAATTACCTACAACCACCATCATTCAATCTTTAAGTCTGAAATTTTTTTTGTCAAATTTGCTATTCATTTTCCTTTGTTTCAGATCTTCTACTATTAATAACATGAGACCAAGAAAACAAAAATTTAAACTAGTTTGCATGAAGAAAGATTTGACCCACAATCCTCAAAATTATCCCCCCTGTGCCGGCACACTTCAGCTAATAACAAGCCAGAAAATCTGTTTGAGCATCATTAATAATGAACCGAGGTCCTGAGGACTCAAGAGAAACCCCAGGGCAGGAGGGAGGGAGAGAAAATAGTAACTCAAATGCAGGGTTTGAGCTAGGATTTGATCACTGGGGGACAACTTGTCCCCTTTGCTAAAATTTTGGGGGACATTTTTGTTTTTAGGGGGACAGAAATTTGTACACCCGTCTGCTGATGCAAAGGGGTTTGTCTTCTTAGATTTCTGGCAAAAATAGCAGAACATCGCCTCCTTTTCATAGCTCAACCACATGTGATCTCGTGATTTTTTCGGTTTCCTTCGATCCTCATCCGTTTCTTCCTGATTAATACACTGTTCTTCTGTATCATTTTTCTCTGATTCACTCTGGCTTTGATTTGGAGTGAAAAAGCTTTCTAATTTTCGAACACATTTTCGATGTGACACATTAACTATTGCCAGGCGCGTTCACCATGCTTGGTTGAGCATGACATGTACTTGTTCAGTAGAACGTAACTGAAACTTTCCATGTTCTGTTTTAGCTTGCAATTTCTGTACTGAAATAAATCTCTTCGTGTGTGCTTCCTTTCCAGCTTTTTTCTCTAAATTTTGAAGGGGACAAATTGTCCCCTTGGCCGTTTTTTAAGGGACAATTTCAATTGCAGTGCGGGATTGGCGCAAAGGCACGGTCTGGCTCAAACCCTGCAAATGAATGCCTGAGACAAGTGATCAGATTACACCTAGCCGCTGAAACAGCTTGGGTTCTTCTAGCTAATTAAGTTATTCCTTTGGAATATTAACCATTGTCTGCACCAGTATCATTACCATCAACATCATCATCACAATTTATTGACCTTTAGTCCTAACAACTGCCACAACAGACCAATGTATGTAGCTGTAAGTTTTTCTACTTACATGTTCCTCCTCTACCCCTCCCCTGGCCTCTCCCTCTTCCTCTAATTGTCCGGCCTCTAGACTGCTCGCATGCTTGTTGCCTTTGTACTCTGTTAATGTGCTTTGGACTACTTAAATGTTGCTCCATTTGAATCTGGGAGTTAAAGCTCATAATGCATTCATCACAGTAAAACTTCATCGGAGGATTGCCAACTGTGGGTAACAAAACCGCTCCTAAAATATTTACAACAAAAAGATACATGGAAAATTTAATACACATTGTTACCAGTAATAATATTTTAAAGGGTTTTGGAAAATTTGCTGTTTTAAGGGAAAACTTTTATCTTATGGGGAATGTCCACCTCCTTTAGAAAGCTGAGTGTGATAAATACTCCAAACAAAAACTTCAAAACTGTACTATGTCAATTTTAGTGGCAGTTTAATTTTGCACATGGGGCAAAGGTAACTTTTTAATATTTTCCAGTTGAGACTCCTCTCTCAGAATTCTACCAATTCTAAACAATAATATTGCACTCGAGATTCTTGCATATCTTGGGAAAAAACTACTGTTTTCTTTCTAAGTTATTACAGAGTTTGTTACTCTATTTTTATAACATTTCTCTTCTATGGTTGATTGCTCTTTTTCCAGGTGTCTGATTCATGTTAATAACCAAGGCATTTGTCACCTGGCAAAGTTTATAAAAGTACCAATATTATGATTTTGACTTCAGTCTTCATTTTTGTGGATCACCACTAACTTTTTTTCCAATCCGTAGTTTACGTCTAGGAGAACTTAAGCGATATTGCAGAGTATAATAGCCCACATCAGGGTTTCAAAAAGATGTTCAATTTCAGAGTCCTTTTGACAAGAAGTTCTCTCATTTTGCTTGCTGCCGAGCCTTTCTTGATCAAGCTTGTTCATTCAATGAAGCTGAATACATATGTTGAGGTTCAATCTTATCCTTGGTTTAAATTCTATTCTCTTTTGTTTTGGGGTATACTGATGTCTGATAATGAGTTTGAAACAAAAGAAAATAAAATTAAAACCAAGGATAAAACTGAACCACAACATTTATATCAATATTAAGCCATCTTAACCTTGCATTGTATCCTGGGCCACTCATACATTAATCTCTCTAAATAAATATACTTAGAGAGTATTTTGCTACATACTAGAGACAGATTTCCAGTGCATTTTCCCCTTAAGATGCATGTCCATTTGACTCTTGGAGTTCAATGTCAAGCGACAAAATTCACAGTGCAGTTCATTAGTTTCTTTATTAACGGATGATACTGTTTCACTTGTATTGGTGTCTTGTAACAGAGCTTTTTCTGGCTGTTCCTGTGAGACAACTGTTCCTAAGCTAGAAGGGACAGTTAACTCTTTTATATTGCCTTCATCTCCTGTTTGACTCAAGGCTTGCAATTTGCGTTGGTGCGATTGGCCATTAAAGTGCTGCGCAACTTGTGTAGTAGAGTTGAATTTCCTTCCACAGATAAGGCAATCGAGACTGACACGATCAAGTGGCAAAGCTTTGAGTTTGGGTGGTATATCAGATGTACATGTAAAACTGAAAGACAGTTCCAAGCTTTCAGAATGCTCTTCATTTGAATCCTTCATCTAGCAAAAAAAAGTTGCAGAAAGGAATAAGCAGGACTCAGTTGTTGAGATAGCCACCATCATTATGCAGATTACCCTAACCAACGCTTTAAACCATAACCACATGTACTCCTAGTAACAATCTCCACAATTTTTTCTACTATACATTATTTCTTCTAGAGCAGATCTTCATGGGGTGGTTTGGAATTAGTTCAAAGTCAAACCCTCTAATCAAACTAAAACTGCCCACCTCTCACTTGCAGAGATAAAAGACACTTTGTCTCCAGTAGCCACATTGTCAGTGACTGGCAAGCCTCCAAGCTACCCCCAAGGAATGGGCTATTGCAGAATTTAATACCTGCACCCCCCAGTTGAGGACCAAAAGAATTCTTCAGGGGTAAGTGATAAAAATTGAGGGTCTCTAAAGCAGTAGAGTAAAAAATGTTGAATTTTTTTTTCACAATCTTCAGTCATGAACAAGAAAAAAATAACTTTTTAACAAAATTCTTTAAGGGCAAACCCTGTTTCCTTTGAGGTGCAATGAGTAAAAGAAAACGGTTGTTTTGGTTTTATTGTCTCAACTGCTGTATTTTGCAACTGAATGTAGCAGTGGTCTTGTTAATCTAAAAGTTAACCGCATACTTTATACATATACATATGGGGCGTTCCATTTGTATCCACAACCTCCCCCACCCCCCTTCCCGCCCCCCGCTTAGGATGACCCTCAAATTTTTGTTGGTGTCCTTTGAAAAATGAAATCCTAAGGGTTCATTTTTTTTCGGCACCTTTAGAAATTTTGTCCGAAGGATCCAAATTTTGCCGGTTTCTTAAAAGAAAAAAAAAGCCCCCGCTGTGAGAAAACCTGTCATCCTTACGGTGGGGGTGCAGATAAAAAATGGAACGTCCCATGGCAGAGTCCTCACCGGGTTCATTGCACCAGGTTGACTCTGTTTGATCTGTTCCTTAAGTCGATGGGATTTCCCTCGTTTATGCTGTTCTGCTTGGGTCAGAGAATTGAGTTGTACTTTGCAGATGTCACAAAAGAATTGTTGAGCGTGTTGTTGTTGCGGAGTTCGTTGCTTGTTGGGCATGTGTTCATCATAGTCTTGGTTCGACATTTTTCGCTTCCTCCCTGGATTAAATACCATAGTATTGCTTTCTTGCGTTGGTGCATGGCTTTCTTTGGTGCTATGGTACAAAGAGCAAAAGTCTGAAAAGTCCGAGAAAGAAAATTCTGAAAGTTCTCCCTGGTTAGAAATCTGCAGATTTTGCAACGCCATTTTACTACTGGTGCGGTTCGCGCGGTTTGCACTTTGAGCCGTAGCTTGTGTATGTAAGTGTCACTAGAAAGTCACCACGTACTTTACAGCAAGGAGCCCAAAAAAAGTGTAACCGCTTTTAATTTATTCACATTCTTTCGTGCAGATTTAATCCAATCAGAAGCCAGCTGGAAACTGTCCTCGACTTCTGATTGGTTAATACCTTCATGAAAGAATGTGAATTAATTAAAGGAGGTCACACTTTTAGGCTCCTTGCTGTAACAGTTATAGGCCCCGTGCAAACAGACGTAACATTGTTAGCCAACAACTCTCAACATTGTTGCGTCCGTTTGCACACCCTGCTGCATGTTGTTGGATGTTGTACGCACAACAACTCGTTTTAAACATTGTAACAACTTTCAACAATGCAGGCAAACGTGCATCGAAACACCCGATACTCGGACGCTAGTACTCACAGGCTATGCGGATCAAGAACTAGTGACCATCACTTTCCAGTAAGGATCCAGTAACCATTTCTGCGTGCAGCACTTCCATAAAATTTGTTTTAATCACAATGCGACTACTATAAACGGGGCCGGCCACCCAGCCAAAGTTGACCAATCGGATTACGGGAAAATAACAATACATTCTGAGAAAGTTAGTTGTCAATCATAATAAAAACGAAACGAAATAAACAACACGTATCGAAATCAACTAATTGCAACCTACAGACGTGACCATTTGAACCTGCTGAAGAAAGGACTTTTTTACCGAGAGGTCCGTTAGAGTGAGTGGCGGAGGCGAAAAAAGTAAACGATAATATACATAGAGAGAAATATATAGAGATGAACAAATATTTTTACTGATCCTCAGGTCTCACTCTATAGATCCAACGTTCTGCACCAGGTTTTGCAGAAAATTCTTTCGCGGCCCTCTGCAGTTTATGTCCATATTTGTATTTTGGGGCCGTTGCTATACTGTATTTCATCCATCCGATGAGTTGTACATTTTGCATGGTTTGATCCTGTGTTTTGTCTGTTTGGTTTGGCCATCCGATACATTTTGTTCCAGCAGAAGACTGTGATTTAATATAGACGAAATACCCAGCAAGGTATGATCATTAGAACTCGTTCATTAAACGGACTTCTAAACGCAAGAGAGGAACCAGTGTTCTTCGATCTTTGTCAGTTGAGTTCTATAAAAATTTACACTTTCGTCTCGTGCTTCTCTTGCTTCGCACTTCTAAAATTCTCATCAGCTTTTGCCCCTTTTTCATTGGTATCCTATGATGGACGCGGTGAGGTCATTAGTACATTCACAATAAACCAGATGAAGGCTTCAGACTGCCGTCCGTACAACATCGTCCTCGGGATCCTCTCTTAAGCCCTGTGTAAAAGGACACAACATTGTTAGAGTTGTTGCGTCCGTTTGCACGTAGCTAAAAGTTTGACCGGTTTCAAACTTTGCGCAACAACTCCCAACAACACGCAACAACATGCAACAGGGAGTGCAAACACACGCAACATGTAAGCGGATTGCATACTCAACGCATCAGTGGTCGTCCCACAAGAACTTCCGGCGTTTAACAAACTTATGAATCCACCACTATGGAGATCGTTTGCGTTGTTTTAATGCTGTCAGGAGGGTCTCAATGGGGTTAACCGATAGGCGTAAAACGGCCAAAAATTTAGTCGACAGCCGTAAAAATTGAAAAATTTTAACCGTTAGCCGTAAATAGGGTAAAAAGAGTTAACCGTAAAAGAAATTTTTCCCTAAATTAGTTGATTTTAAGGAAGGTGCTTAACTCACTTATGACCGGCTGCGCCTTTCTTATTCACGGCTACTTTGATTCCTTACGCTCTCTCCTCTGCAGAAGCCTCTTTGTGTCGCAGGGAGGTTGCTGGGAGAAAGAAAAAGAAAGGGCGCGCGCGGGGACGAGTCTTGCTTGACCTCACTTGGCCTGCGTTTTATAGGACAAGTTGACAGCGCTACATATATCAATGACTAGTACATTTCAGTGTGAGTATTATCAATGTTCTACATGCAAAAGATGCGATAAATTCAAACTAAAATGTACTAGTCATGGAGTTATGTATAGTGCACAATATTTTGGAAAAAATAGCATAACGTCAAAACAGTGAATATTGAAATTTTAAGATGTTGCAGTAATCAATCTCAATGAACGTTTCAGACCTTATTATATACATTATGAAGATTATGTGAAGAGATCTTAAAAAAATTCGTTCGAGTCGTTTCAGAGATATACAAAATAGCGCTAAAAGTCCAAATTTTGAATGAATTTGCGCTTATACAGGTGGTGAGAAAAGGGCTTAGTTTTCAAGATCGCAAGAACAAAAATACACCCGAAAATTTCCTACGATAAAAAGATGATATTAGCAGCATTCTGACGCTACTTAAGAATTATTTGAGTCATTTATAACGCTTTTATTAAATAATCTATCATGGCTATTGAAAATTTGAGGTTTGAATCGAATTCAAACATTCAGAATTTTTTACTTCTTACGGAGATTGTTTGCTAAACACCAAACTTTAAGTTTCTAGTGTTGGATTTTCAGTAGCTGGTCTAGATCACACAAAATTCGCCTTTTATCAATTTCAAAGTTTTTTGTTTCTTGTTGTCATAGTAATATCGACTTTAAATAAAACTACATTTTCACAAATTTCACTCCATAGCCAAACGATCGGACAAGGAAAAAGCCACTTCAAAGGCGATTGAAGAATATTGGTATGGCCTCTGAAAAACTGTATCGAAACACCTTGACTTAATCGGTGCCAGTATTGAAAGGTCTTGTTAGTATTTTTCCAACGGGTGAAGAAAGGCCAATCGAAAGGTACAAGGCAAGACACTAGGAGTATCGGACACTTTTAACATTCAAGAAAAGCATTTCAAGGAAAACGTTATTGTAGTCTTGGCCTTGACGAGCAAGCCAGGAAGTTCCGTCTGAAAACTGTAAGGCCTCGCAAAAATCAGCAGCAAAACAGAAAATTATTCTTTATCGACCCAGCAGCAGCTAGATCTGTTGCTTGACTCAGATGGTGAAAGCCAGATGAACAGTAAGTACTGGTCAACGGTGACGTATCCGAGACAAAAACTCGCTCGGACCACGTAATCCGAAACGCATTGGCCGCGCAGAATAATGAGGCCTAGTGACAAGGCAACGGCAGACAGCCAGACAGTCGTTCTGTACAGTCCCTCGCTATCGTAAAAAAAGAACTTGAACAGCTCGTTATTAAGAACAGTTTGCTTTGTCCCTGGGGAAAGACAGCCCTTACATTTTCTCTAAATTCATACAAAGATGATCCTAGGATCTTTATTTTGCTTTAAATATACAAAAATAGAGGTTTATTAACAATTTATTAACAAATTCATCCTGAGATGATCCTAGGATCTTTACTGTACAAAAATAGAGGTTTATTGGTATTTAACTCTTTGAAACCAAAGAAATTAATTTTTAACTTTTTTGTTTACCGTAACGGAAAAAAAATTAACCGATAGCCGTAAAAGAGCCAAAATTTTAGCCGATAAACGTAAAAGCCATCAAAACATTGAGACCCTCGGTCAGAGGCCGTCAACTCCTATAGTTGTTATGGCCCACTTTTTAACTTTTATCGTGGAAAGTGTGTTTTCCTTTCAGCATGCTTTACCAATTAAGGCACACAGTGTAGTATTCACCGACGCAGATTTGTAAAAAACATTTATTACAGTATATCAAAAGGATTTTCTGACGTTCCCACGTAACTTAACGTAAATATATTCTTACAAATATAGACTCTTTAAAAGGCGCTTTTTTTCCTTCCAAAGAAGTTTCCGCTATGTCTTGGACACGCACTTTAAAAACAACAACACATACTTTTATATTTCACAAAATAGCTCTTTTGACTAATCAGGGGCGTAGCCAGCAGCCTATAAGCCCGTCTGCCCGTTGTACGATTTTCCCTACCAAATACAATCATTGACAAAAGTTCTGGGACACTTTTGCATTTCTAGAGCGTTTTCCAATTCACATAGGTCCAACCCCTCCCCTCACCCCACAAACAAAGCTGGACGCTTGTATCCAGAATTTTTTCCGAGTTTCAACTTTGTATAGGACAAAGGGAGAGAGAACTGCAAGAAAATTTCGAAAACAATGCAATGTTTTATGACGAAACCCAGAAATGACAGAAAAATGTGAATATTGCATTGAGGAGTTTTGTCCATGATTGTAACTTTTTTTTACTGTGACTCCTCTACCAGTAATGTTGAAGCAAAAAAAACTGACACATACGTACTTTAACGTTCGTGAATGAGAAAGAAGCAGAGGGGATAAATCTTGTTATAAACCACCCACATTGTGCTGCGATGAAATCTACTAGCTTGTCTTATATGTCCAAACCACGCGAACTACTAGTAACTTCGTAAATGCAAAAAACCTGCCAGAATAATAGAGACGATCTGCTATCAGGGTAAGGAAATTCTAGTAGCCAAATATATTACCAGTCACCTAACACGCGATCTTTAGGGACCATGCCTACAAAAAGTCGAAAAGCTACGCCCCTGCCGATCATCGAGAACAGAACCATTATCTAGAAGCGAAAACTATAGCCTGGGTGGCAGGCCTGTTGAAAGGGGACGGGAGAGAAGGGAAAAGGGATAGGGGACTGGGAATAAAAGGAAGGAGACTCTACCTTTCCCTCCTGGCGCTTTTCTCCTCCTACCCCCCCCCCCCCCCCCCCCCCCCCCCCCCCCCCCCCCCCCC